AGAAGCTTTTTCACAGTGACAAAATTATTAATTTATCAAAAGACAAAACTTTATGTAACAACAGATTCAAAATAAACGGAAGAAAACATGATAGAATTGCAAGAAAATGACAAAAACGTCATACTCATAGTTCATAGTTTCAATAGCCTAATCTCAATAATATTTCCCCTTTGTTTTGGCTTCTCAACACTCTAGTGCAATGTTTAGAGTCTCTTCTGACATTCATTTACAATTTTCTTTCTCCTCTGTCTTTGTAATGACCTTTTGCTTTATTCATGGATGACATCCTTGATATCATCCCATAACTCATCTGATGTTCAATGCTTCAATCTATTATTAAGATGATCTTGAAATTCAGATACAATAGATCCAAGATTATATTTTGTTTCTTGGACTTTTTCTCTTTTCTTTGGCTTCAATTTGAACTTGCATGTAAGTAATTACAAAAGGAGAAAGCATGGTGACGTAAAAGTGCTAAATGTCAAAGGACAGCTCAAAAAGACAATGGAAAGTATTACATAAGAATGTGCAGAGAGCTGGAATTGGAGAATAAAAAGGGGAGAGCTCGCTATGCATTTCTCAAGCTAGAAACCTGAAAAACAAATTTAAGCCTTGAGTCACAATATTGAAAGATGCTATGGGCAATAAATGAATGATCCAGAAAGCATCAAAAGCAGATGGAAGAAATACATAGAATCACTGTACTAAAAAGAACTGACTGACATTGAAAAATTTCAGGCAGGTAACCCTATGAGCAGGAGCCAATGGTAATGAAGGAAGAAGTGGAAGCTGCATTGGACGTATTGGGAAAAGTAAGGCCCCAGGATTTGATGTGATACCAATTGACTTGTTTCAATTAACAGATGCAGCCTTGGATGAGCAATCTAGACCAGGAAATTTAGAGGATGGCTGTCAAACAAAGAATTGAAAGAGATTCATACTTGTTCCCTATCCTAAGAAAGGTTTTCCAACAGAATATGGAGATTGTCGAACAATTTCATTAATATCACATGCAAGCAAAATACTGCTGAATATCATTCAAAAATGGCTTGAACAGTACATACATAGGGAACTTCCAGAAGTTTAAGCAGGATGCAGAAAAAGCCATGGCCCAAGGACATCATTGCTGATGTCAGATTGATCCTGATTGAAAGTGTAGAATCCCAGAAGAATGCCTATTTATGCTTTATTGACTATGCAAAGGCATTTTACTTTGTGAATCTTAACAAGTTATATCTAACATTGAGAAGACTGGGAACTCCAGAGCACTTAACTATGCTCATGCAAAACCTATACCTAGACCAGGAGGCTGTTTTGGGAAGAGAACACGGGAACACTAAAGGGTTTAAAATTAAGATGGGAGTGTGTCCGTGTTGTATTCTCTCTACATATCTATTCAATACGTATGCTGAGAAAATTATCTGAGAATCTAGAATGTATGCAGAGAAATATGGCATCAAGATTGGAGGGAGACTCATCAATAACCTGTGTTATGCAGATGACACAACCTTGCTTGCTGAAAGTGGGGAGGACTTGAAGTACTTGCTGTAGAAGATCAAAGAATATGGTCTTCAAAATGGATTTCATCTTAAGGGCGCTCTGGAGACCTAGAGACAAGAAGCTGCACAGCAATCCCAAAGGTGCATGGTTCAAATCCACCAGATGCTCTCCTGTGCCAGTTGCATCTGACTCAATGGAACACAATAAGAAAAAAAAGTCATAGTAACCACTTGCAGTATACAAACTTTGGCTTCTACTCAAAATGTGAATACAAAAATTTAAAAAAAAATGGATTGCATCTAAATGTCATGTAAACAAAGATTCTTACCATTGCCCTCATAGGCAACAACATGATAGATAGGGAAAAGATTGAAACTATAAACAACTTCATCTTACTTGAGTCCACATTTAACACCCTTCGTACCAGCAGTCAGGAAATCAAGAGATGCATTACACTTTGAAAGGCTGCAATTATAGGCCTCTCTAAATTATTGAGGAGCAAGCATGTCATATGGGGGGCTAAGGTGGGTCTGTTTTAGTCCATGGTCTTTCTGATCACTTGCTGTGCATCTGAGTGCTGGGCAATGAACAAGAATGACAGAGGAATTGATGCCTTTGAGCTATAGCGTTGGAGAAGAGCAGTCAATATCCCATGGACTGCCAAAATAACAAACCAATATGTCTTGGATAGGGTACAGACAGAATGCTCTTTGGAGGGAAGTATGATGAGACTTTGCCTCACATGTTTTGGACATGTTGCTAAGAGGGGCTATTCCTTGGAGAAGGACATGATCAGAAAGGTAGAGGGTTGGCAAAGGAGAAGACCTTCAACCAGCTGGATTGATACAGTGACTACTGTAATGGTCTCAGGAAGTGTGGCAATAGCACAGTATGGGACAAGGTCCAGATCTGTTGTTCACAGGGTCACAATGGGTCGTACTAAACAGCACCTAACAACAGCAAAAATCTCAATACTTGATAGTTCACAAAGACAAAATAATCAGTAAATGCATAGAAGACTTTACTGCCACTATCACAAACATCACCAGCATACTCACATTCCAGAAATGTGTAAAGAGGAAAATAAGTTTTTCAAGTAGAGAAGAAAAAAACCCTAAAGCAATACTAGATATAAAAAAAGAAATAAACTACAAGCGGTGATTACATGAGTATTATCTTGACAATAAGCCAGCTAACAAGAGAAGAGGCTACATGCATTTTCTCAAAGAGTTGGAAATAGAAATACCTTTTGACCCATCAATTACACTACTGGGAATATACCCTAAAGAAACCAGAACTGCTACCCAAACAAATGTATGCACACCCCTGTTTATTGCTGCGTTGTTCACAACAGCAAAGAGATTGAAGCAATCCAAGTGCCCATCAACAAATGAATGGATAGGGAAGCTGTGGTATATTAACACAATGGAATAAGGCAGCACTGAAAACCAAGGAACTAATAAATATTATACAAAATTAATGACTCTGGAGTACGGTATACTGTGTGAAATATCCAGCCACAAAAGGATAAATGCTAAAAAGAAAACACTTTCTAGAAATAAACAGGCAGATACTAAAAAAAAAAAAAAGACAAATACTGCATTAGGCCATTGTTATAAAACAGGACTGACATGGGGGTTGGGGGTAAAGTAAGAGAAGAGAGGATAAACAATGAACACGGCATTGAAACAGATGAGGGAAAGAACTGTTTAAAAGGAATCTCTAATTAGGCATTATTTGCATGACAACAGTACAGAGTGAGAGGTGCATAGCAAAGTGGACTAGGAGGTGCAGGCAGAGAAGAAATTGTGCAACAATGACAATCTTTTTTTTTAAAAAAATTTTTTTTATTATTATTTTATTATTGTGTGTGTGTGTGTGTGTGTGTATATCGTCAAATCAGATCTGACTGGTACAGGAGGAGATTGTTCCTCCTTTTCCCAGCAGAGCATCTGGTGGATTTGAACCGTGCGCCTCTGGGATTGCAGTGCAGTTTCTTGCCACTAGGCCACCAGAGCTCCCTGATAGAATCTTTTTAAAGAGAAAAACAAACTGGAAGGAGAAGTGAGGGAGGAAAATGTGCAATAATGAATCAATGGAAATCAAAGTTTTCTGTAAACTTTTGTTAAAATATCAATAAAAAATTAAGATTTAAAAAAAAATAAGAGGAAAAGCTACCAACCAACATCATTTTCCAGCATATACGGAAAAATTTTTAACAACATTTTAGTAAATCTAACAATCATGGCCAATTGGGAGTACTTCAGAATCTAGAATTCAACATTCAAAATTTATCAAGTCAATAGATTTTAAAATAAGACCATATGATATTGATCAACATACTAAAAAAAAAAAAAAAGAATTTTACAAATATCTATTCCAGCAAGAAATCTCAACAAATTAATACTTGTAGAAGTTTCCTCAGCTTAACAAAGAGCATTTATGAAAAGTCCACAGCTAACATCATACATAGAGGATATTGTTGGTTCTGTGGTAGATTGCTCTTATTTTTGCAATAGACCGATATTTGATTCCCGATCAATGCATATTATGCAGTCTGTGAGTGGAGGCTTTCATCCTGCTACACTACTAAACAGGTGTCAAATAAGCTTTCAGACTCAAATGAACCAGGAAGAAGATCTGGTGATCTACTTCTGAAAATCAGCATTGGCTAATAATACTGTGAACCACAGTGGTCTTGTTCACAACTGATCATGGAAATGGCAAAGGATAAGGCAATATTTTATTGCATTGTGTGGAAAGGTAACAACAAATCACAATAATGTAAAATTGACTGCTTACCCTTAAAATCAGGAACAAGACACGGATGCCTTTTTAATTCATCCAGCCAATACAATAAACCAATAAAAATAAAGGACTGAAGATTGGAAAACAAGAAGCAAAATGAGTTTTACATATGATTATGTGATTATCTATGCAGAAAGTCTGATGGAATCTATATCAAAACTGCTACCAAAATGAAATTAGCAAGATTGCAAATACAAGATCAATACACAGAGAAATGTGTGTGTTGTTGATTCCTATAAACCAATAACAAACAATTAGACATTGAAATTGTAATGTCATTTTCAATATGATCCAAATTTCACTATATTTCACTTGTACCCTTAAGAGTTATAGTCTCTCTACATGGTTATTGCTGCTTTTATTACAAACAGAAAGCTCATCCTTTTGTTTGTTTGTTTTTCTCCTCAGTAAACTTTGACATAAAAGTGGAACAACAAATATTTAACTTTCTAATTTTTACTTGAACATAACTCTCTACTACCTGATTTACATCTCAAATTCAGCACATGAGATTGCATATGCCCTGAAAAATTTATTCTACCTTTCTGTCACAATTGTCTGTAGAGTTCATTGAGTAGAACTAACAACTCAGTACAGAGAAAAACCAAACATTATAGGATGCACACACAATTCCAAATCGTTGTAACAATGGCAAAAGTCACAACACCAGAGAGTAAGATGTAGGTACCCACCTGATTTCCTCTGGGTCCTAAAGCAGAACAGCAGAGCAGCAGCCAGGCCAAGGACGCTGAGCAGCCCACCGATAACTCCTGAAGTTATAGAACCTGTTCTATTTCTGGAAGACCCTGAAGAAGAAGATTTAGACTTAAGGCTTAGGGGCAAGGTTTTTATCTAGACAAAACTGTAGAGATGGAGGCTCAAGATCTATTTTCTTTTTTTTTAAAGGTTTGGTGTTTTTAAAAATTTAATTCCAGCAAAATTTTTAATTTTTTAGCATAAAAGTCATGAAAAATGATGGCCAGTATCTTAGATTAATGTTTACTTTTTCCTTCCTACAATCAGTACAAGTTTTCACAAGATCCAAGTTTTGGTGTGCATTCAAATATTTTATAGTAAAGTAGAATAGGTACCATTTTTTAAAGAAATACTTTATTAACCAAAACAGTCATATCTAGTCAGATATAACTAACCCACCTACGACACTGAGTGTCACCACTTCGCTGCGCTGAGCCTCCAGGCCATTGCTGGCTTCACAGAAGTAGTTCCCGGAATGCTCTGTTGTCAGAAAGAGGCGGAAAGTGGCTCGTCCTGCATAAAGAGCCACGCTTTCTCCCAGAGTGACATTCTCCTGGTAGAACTGGTACAGGATTGGGGGAGAGCCTTTCTGAGCCTCACAATAGAGCTCCACCACATCCCCTGCTGCAGCCCAGGGATCTCTGAAGGTCAGGACAGGCCGAGACACTGGATCTGAAGGAGAAGTAGTTCATCAGCATATTTGCTTAAATTTGTGAGCCAAATAACTTAATAAAGAAGATATTCAGCATAGTTTAGCAATAGAAACATGGAAAACCTGGTCTTGAATCTTGTCTCTGTCCTTAAGTTATGTGACCTTGATTTAAAAACAGAGAACCAACTTTTTATCTCTTTGAGTCTCTGTTTATTTCTTTTAAAAAGGAAGTCATAAATTATCTATGATAACAAATTATAAGATTCATATAAATAAAGTGCCCATTAAATGTGACTGTTACTTTTGATAAAAATATAGCAAAAAATCTAATTTCTGAATATTTCTTTTTTTTTTTTGAGTTGTCATTCTTAGCTGTGAGACTCAGACTTCCACACATATCTAAAGCAGGGCCACGTAAATCTAAAGTGGTAATGATAAAGATCACTCTCATCTTAATTACTTTGCTTTATTTTTTGACAGTATTTAGCACTAACTTACTAGGGAGCTCCGGGGCTTATGAGAAGAATCTGCACTGCAGTCTCAAAGGCATACAGTTCAAATCCATAAGCTGCTCTGTGGGACAAAGATGGACAATGTCCTCTTGTGTGATTTACTGCCTCTGAAGACTCACTGAGAGTCAGCTAGGAGTTGGCTCCAAGTAATGGCGCGCCACAACAAACAAGACATTCCTGGATGGGTTAACATAGTTGGTTGACCCATTTAGTTAATCATGATTAATATGCTTGATTAGTAACTGATAGGTTAAAAGTTTGAGTTAAGCAAGAGTTGTCACTAAAGAAAGGCTAGAGAACCTGAGGGAGGAAAAAAAAAGACATTATCTACCATTGAAAACCTCTAAAGAACATAGGTCTATTCTGAGTCACTAAGGGTCACTTTAAATTGGAGGGATTCATACAATGGTACCTGGTTTTCTACTGGACTATCTGTCTACTATCCTACCTACCTGCCTTCCTATTGTTGCTGTGAATTAGATTACCACACTAGAATTTGTGGGAACTCTGATGGCCAAGTGGAAAGAATCTGTGCTGAAATTTGGAAGGCATTTAGTTCGAAGCTGCCAGCTGCCCCACAGGAGAAGGGTGGGCAATCTTCTCACATGCAATTAAAGGCATCTGAGAACCTGCTGGAATGTCAGCTACGGGTCAGTTATAACTCGGTGGTACACACCACCACCACCACCACCACCACCACCAGAAATTGAAGTTCACAAGACTGGAAATGTGTCTGTTTGATCATTGCTGTGTTTCTTGAAGCTGGAACTTGTCTGGAAATGTAGTAGATGATCTTTAATTTATGATGATTTAATTAATTTAATTATGATGGTTTTAATTGATCCAAACTGACAAGAAAAAATCTAGATACTGTACCAGCAATAATTATTGCCATTTTAATTTACAATTATAAAAATAAGATATCTGAGAAGAACAGAAAATCATTAATGTGGAATATGAGCTATAAAATTTCTGGTTCTAAGTTATGAGAAAACCTAAATGAGCCAATATCCATATCTGCATTCAGTGTTTTATATATAAGCTGTGTACTTCACTGGAAAGAGGAAGCTGACAAGGCTCTTCAGCTTTATTTTGCAAGAGTTTGATAAGGGGGAGTGAGTATGAAAGTGGAGATGCTTAATGGAATGGGAATAGATAAACTTGAACATGACCCATCCATCTTTTGATTGAAAGAAAAATATCTCCTGCTACCTCATCCGAGATGCCAAATTTTGATATTGGAAGTATAGTATTTCTGCTAAATCTAAACATTTAGTTTATGTTTGACCCTGCTGTACATCCTTGTGATATGACATGGCATGGAGCAGATGCTGAAGGCCTGAGGGATAAGTCTGTGTATAGAACTTTTCATATCTCAGAGTATCTTTTCACCTCCATGATAGTCTCCTATTTCTCTTGGCTGCTGTAAACTGACAGCAAAGATTCATAGCTTCTTCTAGTGCATGCTTCCCTCCAGGAATCACAGAACCTCTGATTTTAAGTGCTCATTTTCCTAAAGGCAGATAATTCTAAGGCTGAAAAAGACCATAACTGTCATCAGATTCAAAGCTTCCCAAGGTGGGATACAGAGAATTCATTGAAGTATAAGAAGAAAATGCAAGATTCTGAAAAAGGTTTCACTTTTTAGCTTGAAAAAAAAATAAAAGGAAATGCAGCTTTACTAATCTTCCTGTTGGTGTCCTTCCTCAGCTCACGTGTCTTATATACTGCCAGAAATAGTATGAAAATTGCTAGAGAGAGATCTCCATGTTGTAGAGGAGTTGACAACAGAGCTTTGATTTATTTGTTACTCAGCAAATTAGAGCTCACTGGCCTTTCAGGGAGCTCTTGTGGCTTAGTGACAAGGATTTGCCAACACAAAGGTGCATGGCTTAAATCCACCAGCTGCTCTGCAGGAGAACAATAGGCAGTCTCCTCCTGTGTGATTTGCTGCCTCTGAAAACCCACTGGAGGTCAGTCAGGTATGCGTTGGTTCTGACTCAACTGTAAACAATGAAAACGTTGATCATTTATTTGGCTGGTGTCATTTCCCATTATTGTTGCTGTTGCGTACCATCCTTTCAGCAGGTTTCAGAGGCAGTTGACTGCACAGAAGGAGACTGCTCAAACCTTCTCCCAGAGCAGTTGGTGAATTTGAACCATGTGATTTTGGGATTGCAGCCCAGCTTCTTACCACTAGGTTACCAGAGTCCCACTCCATGGTGACCTTATATCTGGTCACACCATCTTTATAATTGCTGATGATTTAGATCTAATCAGACAATGTTTTGTTCTGTTCCATAGATTGATCATTCATTCATTCATTGTATTTAAGGTTTTTTAATAAATGATTTTTTTGGCACAAAGAGCATAAATGCTTCCATGACACCAATCTTTATAAAATTGCTAACTCTCATGAAACGTATAGTACATTTGAAGTTAAGGGTTCTGTTAATAGAAAACTTTGAAGTTTATAACTCGTCTTTTCTCCGTCACATATTATGATACTTAACACAGAACATAAACACTATATAGTACAAAATATTTTAGCATGAAATTTTAGAATATTAAGTTAGCAAAAACTTTTTTGAAGGAAGTTGACTAACGAATATAACATTCTTAAAGGAATGTGGTTATTATAGGGTAGCATACATAGTATTGCAATTGTTGTTGTTATTGTTTGGTGTCATCAAGTTGAGTATGACTTATAGTGACCCCATGAGTAAAGCTCGGAGCCCTGTCCTATACTGTGCAGTCCTAATCATCTCTGACATACTTTAGCCCATTTACACAGTCACTAAGTATGTTAAGTAAGTAAACTACTAGACCTTTCTTCCCAGTTTGTCTTAGTCTGGAAGCTCTGTTGAAACACAGTCACCATTAGTGACCCTGCTAGATATGAAAAATCAATGGCTTAGTTTCCAGGGTCACAATAACTTGGATACCACCACAGCACAACAGACTGACAGATAGATGACAGTTTACACATGATTTTACCTAGAAAATGCATGTTAACAATACATACTCAACACCTTTGACTCATAGCGGTCCTGGATCACAAATTTGGGATCTCACTGATTTACTTGAACCAACCACCTTGTAAGTAAGGGAATAAAGGATAATTATTTTGCAAGTAAAGATTAGTAAAGATCATGAAGCCAAATATTTTCATGGTCAGTTCTAGGATCCTGGTTTTAGCATAATATCCAAAACTCTTAGTTTCCCAATACCTTCATAAGTCATGACCAAACTTTGGCCATAGGAAGGACATCATTAAGTAAGATATTATATATACTTTATAGTTTGAGATAGTTGAAAAGTGAAAGACAAGACAAAAAGCAGAGATTATAAGGATTTGTGCTGCTGGAGGTCATCTCTTTATCTCTTTTATGCTTTTATCTTTTATAGCCCATCCCACTATCCAACTATCCAAATGCTGAGTATTTTGTAATAATTATGACTTTGACTGGGCTTATAGTTAATTGTCAATATGGGCTGTAAGTAGGACATATGAGATGTTTTAGTGCCCTTGGAGAAGACAATGAGGAAATCGGATTATACGAACCTCTGAACTCAGAAGAAGAAAACCTTTTAAGGAGTGATCTACTTATTTGATTTTATAAAACATAATGCATGAAAATGATTGTATGAAACACAATATGAATGAAGAATAGTGTGAAAAACAATTTATATAAAGTTTGTAAGCAAACCAATTTAAAAATAATGTAAAATAGAATGTATATGAATGATGTATGAAACACAATGTAAATGAAAGATTGTATAAAACAATATATATAAATGAAACAATCTGAAGGAATTATCTGAAAACCAATAAAACTTTTTTAAAAAGGAGTTAAAATATAATACTTTCTATAGGGATTCAGTTCCCTTGTCAACTATTCCTGAATGATCACATATTTGACATTTGAAAAGCCCTTTGTGTCTTTATTGAAAAGATTATGATGTATGGAAGTTAATTACAATGGCAAAAAAGTGAAAGGAACCTCAGAACAGAAAAAGTGAGAAGTCAAATAGGATGTTACACAAATCACCCAGTTAAGTTCTGTTTCTGAGAAAGCAAGCTGTTCTTGTTTTTGTTAAGTGCATTGAGAAGGAACTGACTCATAATAGACACTCCAGTGGGTTTCCAGAGATTGTAAATCAGAAGGGAGGAGGTTTTCCACTCTTTCTTCGAAGGAGCATCTGGTGGAGTCAAACCACCTGTTTTTGGTTTGGCAGTGAAACTCCTTACCACTAGGCCACCAGAATCTGTTCTTGGCTGTAACTAACTGTCGTAAGTGTGTTCCCATGATATTGAGTGTTACTATGACTTACCTATGACATTAAGCATCACTCTGTGACTGCGCTGGGCTTTCAGGTCATTGTTGGCCTCACAAGAATAGTTTCCAGAATGTTCTAGGGTCAAAGATATGTTGAGGGAGACGCCTTTAGAGGGGCCGGAGCTATTCCCCAGTATGACATCCTCCCGATAAAACTGGTAGAGGATTGGAGGAGAGCCTCTCTGGGTCTCACAGTGAAGCTCCATTATGTCTCCTACCACAGCTTGGATCCGGGGAGTCCGGAGAGTGAGGACAGGACGAGACACTGGAACTGACATAAACAAAAGCACTCACGTAAAAGGGATTCACAATCCTAGTCAAGGAGCACAGAAACAAGATGTTTCTGATTAATTTCTGTTTCCCAATGACCAACTTTCAGCACTAACGTTTAGAAACATTTTTTTAAAAGAAACATGAGAAGTTATTCTGGAGAACTTTGTTTTAATCTCTTAGTCTAGAAGTAAGGTGTATTCATATTATTTTGTCTTTCCCCCTACCCCCATCCTCAGGTATATTTTGAATCTTCACATCTGAAGATCTTCATGGTTAATGGTATGAGAACCACAGGCTGAGTGGGAGGCATGATGTCTTACCTCTCACAGTGACTCTAACCCACTTGCTGAGGACGGGGCCGTGGGAGTTGTCAGCTGTACAGTAGTATCTGCCGGAATCACTTTCTTTCACAGCAGGGATCTGCAGCTCTGCCCATGAGGAACGCTCAGTCTTTCGCCCCAGACTTATTGAGCCCTCTTTATGCCAGGAGAACGTGATAGTTCCTGTGCCATTGGCTACAGAGCAAACAAGGACCAGATCTTCTCCTTCAACCACTTGTCTTCCAGGAGGCAGGATCTCTAGATTTACTGCAGATACAGGGATTCCTGAAAGATACAGAACAGTATGTGGCACTCCAATGGCAGAGACTTTACCACCAAGGAAGAAGTTCATATTGCCAGGCACAGATAAATGACCATGAGTGCAATAGACAAGAGTCGAAAATCGAAAATAAAGAATAAATTATGCATGTTATAATAAAAGAAACAATTGCTTAGAACATCCTTTGAACATGTACACACACACACACACACACACACAATTTCCATCCTTCGAAAATATGGACACTGGATCTACATGATCTGCCTAAAACTACTTACTATTGGTTGTAGTCATAGTTCATGGACATTTATCTGTAAAGAATCTGACACGCGCTGGTGCATATTCATATGAGAGAACATAGTTACCCCTAACTAACCTGAAGTAGCTACTCAGAATCCTTCCTTTTCCTTCAAGAATCTTCTCCAACCTATCTACATTTTCCCATGTTCTCCAGGTCTACTACCAATTCACTCCTATCCTCCTCTTTTCTAATTATTTTTTTCTATTTATGTCTACAAATTGAAGTACCATAGTGTTCTAAACATTCAACTGTGCTTCTAGTTGTCTGTTAACTCACCACAAACATATCCTGTAAATACCTATAACTCTCCCACAAAATTGGACACAGAGTTAGTAATTACTAACAGTTCTTATCTAACTTAAGCAGAAAAGAATGTTCTAGTTAGAGAAACTATGCTAGGGTTGAACATAAAGAAGGAAGGATAATAGATTTAGAGGCTCCTCTCAGTTATTTTATCATTTTAGGAAAAAGAAGCTGCCACTGTTCTGCTGCCATCTCCCCAACTCAGACCCTGGCTTAACAGCCCAAAGATACTCACGAATCTGTAATGAGAGACTCCGTTTTCTGATTCCGCTAATTACTGCCTGTGCCTCGCACCAGTAAGATCCTGAGTCTTCACCCCACATAGCTGGAATCTGGAGTTCTGGGACCCTGCTCCAGCCTTTCCCAAAAGTCTGACCTTCTCTGAAGAAGCAGAATTGAAGCTCAATGTTTGACCTCTGTGGAGAAAGCTGGGTCTCACATTTCAGGGTCACGGGCCTCCCTTCCACGGGATTGGGAGGGCTGGCTGTCAGCTCAGGAGTTAGAAACAGTTCTAGAGAGAATAGAAACACATAAAACCATGAGGCATGAATGAAGCTCCTGGAAAGGAGCACTTGTTTTCTCAGCATTAGACATCGGGGAATAGAGAATCATGGGAACCAAACTACCTCCCAGCTCCCTCTTGTGCTGGGACTCTTCATGAGGTCTCCTCCAATGAACACTCTCCTTTAATCTTCAACAATTTCCCTCCCAAGTCTTCTCACCCATAGAAGGATAATCATTACCTTGAACTTGAATCTGTAGAGGTTTTGAATGTGTCATCTTTTTTGGTGACCACCATTTTTTCTTAGAAGCAGCACAAGAATATTTACTATTGTCCCCAGAGACAGAATATAGTTTGATGAACTTTTGATTTTCAAATATATCAAGTTCTTGTCCATCCTTATAGTAAAACCTTTCAATAATTTCATTGTCCTTTTTCCCCCTGCAAGTTATATTGACATACTCTCCTTCAAAGATAGGATGTAAAGCCTGGAGGATCAGCCAGTCTGTAAAGAGAACACATTCAGTTGATCTCTGATGTTTCTGTCAGTTATTTCTGCTTATGAGGGAAGGGCTACAGTCCTGTCCATGCCTGAAAATGTCATCCCCCACTTTTCACATGCCTCTAATGCCGAATTCTTTCTTGTCCTGAGGAATGGACTGATTCCCATAAAATACCTTTAAGAGGTCTCCATGCCATTATTGTGGATTTCTATTGAATTGAACCATGCCAGCGTAAAACTATGCTCCATAGGGTTTTTATGGCTTTGATATGTAGGAAGCAGATTGCTATCTTTTTCTGAGGCACTGCTGGATGGATACAAACCATCATCTTTTTGGCTAACGACTAAGTGTTCAATCATTTGTCTTATCCAGTGTTCCTCTTACAAAAGAAATAGAGTCTTCAGAAACAATTTTTTTTTCCTTGTGGCTAGTAGGTTGCCTACGATTCTCTGGAAGAAAAAGATGGATCATTCAGTGTCCTGCTGCTGTCCCTTCTCCTCATTTTCTCTCTGGATCAGTGCATCAAATATCCTAATGCCTATTTACAGATCTGCTGAGGCTCCCGTATTAATCAAGCCCCCAGACACTGTGCACACATCATTTCAAAGATTCCCCTTTCTTTACTCACCAGATGAAAACTCCACATGCAAAGGGTCACTGAGTGAGGATTCTCTGGTCTTACATTTATACTTTCCAGGGTATCTTGCTTTAATCTGTTCAGATTTTACTCCCAACAAACTTTCTTCATAATACCAAGATGTATCGCCCAAAGCTGAGGAGGAAGATCCCTTACAGGTGAGAGTCACAATGTCTCCTTCAAAGACTGGGAACCATCGAGGTTGGACTAGAATCACAGCTTTGGGAGCTGCTCCAGACAGGAAATAAAAAGATAGAAGCAATTAAAGGGAGTGAGGCAGGATTGGGTTGAGAACATCCTTGGAGCTCGGAGTCTAGCTTGGGTTAATTGCACATTAGCAGCAACAGGTTATAAACTGAGCAAAATCATCCTGAAAAAGCGCCTGGGGCAAAATCTGTACCTTATTCTCCTATGCTTTGCCTGAAAGTAGGCAGGCAGGTCTCAGAGAGAATAGGTCTCATGTCCCTATTGAAAACTTAGCAAAATCCAAGAGATGTGATGTATACAGTTGAGCAAACACTATGATTGATTCTCATTCAAGTACTCTTGTACTATTTTCCTGCCCAGGTAAGGGTGAATCTGAGACAGACGTACTCCAGAAGTTTCTGTTTCTGGGCTTTAAAAAAAGGACTTGTTATTTATTAGTTATTATTTGCTTAATATGATTCTTCCACTTCCACAATTTTCATTGCTTTTCAACCTTGCATAGTTGAAGATTCTATAGGAAGACAACATCCCTCCACTTTACATTTACATTAGACATAATCAATACTTGAGGAGGTGTAGGATTAATTTAAATGAAGCAACCTGGACTGTTTGAGAAACCAGACTAGTTAGTTTGGACATTGAGCCGAGACAATACCATGAGTCCCTTTTGGATGAATATTAGGATATAGATATAGCATTTTCCTTTGGGAATATCAACAATCTTCATGCCTTTGGGAGCAGCAACTACCTTAGGATGCAGAGGAAAGTAGGTGTCTTAAGGTATGGATGAAGTCAGGTATGAGACTGTCTCAATATCAGACATTTGCCTCTATCCTTATCTCTGCAAATATTACTTTCCTCTCTATATGTACTTATCTTGGTAACGGACAAAAAAATAGAGGCTGAAGCTCTCAGAGAAGTATTTGCTACTCCAGCAAAGTCACAAGCATGATCTCAGACAAGCAATATCACTGTTGTTGGTACAGTTGTTGTTGTTGTTGTTGTTTCAGTGTTCATCTTCAGAGCTTGTGACAAGCTGTACTGGCTCAGGTGATTAGTGAACGCCCAGGGACCACGAGGAATAGAGAAAAAGGAAAACTCACCAGATTGTTCACTTTGGGAAGCTGCAAGAGAGTCAAGAGTGGAAGATTAGCACAAAGCAGTGTTTCTCAAACTTTTACCACTAGAAACTCAGATGTTTCCTAACAACTCACCCACTACTATTTTAATTTTCCTTCATGTTTCTTCACTTCCATTCCACCCTACCTAGGGCCACTCAGGAAAAGTAATTAATACATACATACATACATACATACATACATACATACGTACATACATCTATTTTATAAACATTCAATGTCTGTGTAAAAAACCCTGTTTCATCTCTTTGTTATTATATTCTAAGCAGAAATATACTCAAACAGAAGAAGAAATGATGCCTGTGAATTTTGGTGTTGGAGAAGAGTACAGAATATCCCTTGGACTGTCTTGGAGAAAGTGTAGTCAGAGTACTGCTTAGAGGCCAGGATGGTGAAATTTCATCTCGTACACTTTGGGCATGTTTTCTAATCCTTGGGGGAAAAAACCCCAACATTCTGGGACAGGTGGAGGGTGAGAGAAAGAGGGTCTCAACCAGATGGATTAATAGTGATGGTCACAAGTGTATGGTGAAGATAACATGGCGAGGATAATGCAGTGTTGGGCAGGGTTCACACCTGCTGCTCATATGATACATAGTTGACTTGATTGTACGTAACAACCACAAGTACACACTTGATCACCTCTTTTCTCTAGCCTGAAATCAGCAGTGTAGAGGCAGAGAAGGATTTGAAGAAAAAATTTAGCTTTCATTTCTTGAATATTGTTATGTTTTTTTTAGCCTCTGGTTAAATTTTAGCTTAAAATTTAGGTCAGGGGTCATGTTTCTCAGTAGATCTTCCCTCTTCACCTGAGTTTCAGAATAACAATTTATCTCGAAAAAAAAACCAACACAGCTTAAAACTAAGACAAAGTGAATTGTGGCTGGGCAGAAAGAAATATTGGAGTTTACTCTGAAACTTAAAAAGAAATACATGAGAAACAAAAGATAGAATCTGGTTTTCCCTGATGCTTGTATTTGAAATTTTTTGATGCTCACAGTCGTTCCCAATATCTCCTTTTTCTGAAATGCTAAGTGGAAGCAGAAACAGAAATCCTCCCTCCTTTCCCCTGGCTGACCTAAGGAGCTGAAACCACTGTGTTTTCTCCCCCATCTACTCACTCAGAATCGGCAGCAGCAGCCACAGAAACATGGAGACGTGACCTGGCTGAGGATGGGAAGAGTAGCTCACCAAACGTATCTTGCCAGACTTATCTTCTTTTCAAAGAGGATGTCTGTAGTCCGTTGCTACAATGGAATATGCAAGAGTTGGAGAAAGAGAAGTATCAGGATTTTGTATCATATGTTGCCTTGTGTAAACTGGTTACCTTCTGAATAGCTTTTCATAGTTCAATCCTGACAGCAGAGCTTTTAGAACTGATGAGGATCACCTTTTGGCAGGATGAGGCTCTCAGGAGAAACATCTATTACAGTGTATTTTATCCTCTGAAAATGTAACCTGTGAATTTGCTAGGATTCCTTTTTCTTCACTTTTCAAATGGACAACTCTTTCGTTGACCAAATACAGTCAGTCTTTAGTTCCTCATGAAGTTCCGAATATACACTCATTTCATCACTGCGGTGTTAACGCGGTGTGAGTCATACAAATTCAAGCTCTGAAAGCAGACACGAAACCCTTCCTGACCTTAAGAATAAGTTGGCATGAAGCTATTGAAGAAAAAAGAATAGAAAATTTCAAATTAGCAAAAGGGATTGTCCCAAACACTCTCCATTCAGAACTGTTCAAATGTTCAAATAACTCTTGCTTTTAAACTTGTGTAAAAACAAGTTTAGTCTTTTATTTTTAAATTTACATTTTATTTTCCTTTTTTCCTTTGCCTTTAAGTTTACAAATCATAGACTTTTTTCATACAATCATTTGCACTTTTAAAAAAAGCATTAGTTGCTTTTGAGTAATATAAACCAGAGTTAGAGTAGTCCCCTGGTCTTGCATTTGGAAGTCTATTCACTGTTATTGCTCTACTTTGCGTATTTCCCCCCACAATAGTTACTAAAATTTGTAATTATTTTCCCTAATTTCTTGCTTTATTTTCAAGTCTTTCCCTCTTACTAACACAAAAGAGCCCATGTTTATGAGTTGTGCCTCTCACTATTCTTTCTTCAAAGTAAGCATTCAGTAAGTAATGTTGAGAGTGCATTGAATGAACTGTGAGGCAGTCTGGAGCAGCGCTTCTCAACATTTTTTTTTCTGTTATTTCCCACTAAAGAATTTTTCAAATAATCTCTCCTAGTCCTCTCTCTCCTTCATGAAATTTTAATAGCACATCTTTGATATGTGTCTGTTTATTTACTTTATTATATCTCTGCTTTATACATAAATAGAGATTTTTCTTTTCATGTCCAAGAAATTACTTGTGTCCATTAGGGATGATATCACCAGTGTTGGAAATACATACTCTAAGCACAGAGACAGAATTTTCTCAGTAATCTAAGATGCATAATAGTAAGCTATAATCATTCAGATAAACTTTTCTATTAGAGATGAATGAAGATCTTAGGTCAAATATCCCTTTCTTGGGAAGGTCATGTCTGAACCTGTAATGTGAAGCAGAGCCTTGTTCTTAACTTAGCAGTATTTTTTGCTTCATGAAATTGATGAGATTTTTCTTTTGTCGTGGATTTTGTGTACCATAGAGTTGGAATTGACCCATAGCTGACCCTCCCATGGGTTTTCAGAGGTAACTAATTGCATGGAAGGGGATTGCCCATTCTGCTCCCAAGAAAGAACTGGTGGCCTCAATTGACCTTTGTGCCTTGAGGATTGCAGCACAGCTTCTTGCCACTAGGACATCAGAGCTCAACCTAGTTTTTGTTGTTATGTGATGTCAAGTTTCCTTGCAACTCATAGTGACCCTATGTTCAACAATTTTGAATACTGCTCTATGCTGTGCTCTGTGCTGGTCTCCAACATACGTACCCCCATTACCCCAGTCACTAAGTCAATCCATCTCATCCAGGGTCTTCCTCTCTTTCACTGTCCCTCCATCCTCTCAAGCATGACTTCCCTCTCTAAGGACTGGTCCCTCCTTGCAACTTGCCCACAGCATGTCAGATAGAGCTTCAAAACCCTTGCCTACAAGGAGCAGCCTGGTTTCACCCTTTCTGGGATGAACCTATTTGTTCTCTTAGCAGTTTAATACTCTTCTCCAGCACCACAGTTCAAAGACATCAATTCTTCTTTCATCCCAAGTCACTGTCTATCTTTCTGAAGCATAGCAAGTAATTGCAAAGACTATGGCCTGGATTAGGCACATCTTAGTCTCCAGACTGAAATTGTTGCTCTTTACTACTCTGGAGATGTCCCTGACAGACAACTTTCCCAAGGCAATTTGTCTTTTGATTTCCTGGCTGCTGATACTAAGAGTGTTGATTGTGGAGCCAAGCAAAATGAAGCTGCTAACAATCTCAATCTCTTCACCATTTATCATGATATTGCCAATTGGCCCAGTGGTGAGAATCTTTGTTTTCTTGATGTTGAGCTTCAATCTGTTTTGAAAGCTGAAGTTCTTGACCTTCTCCATCAAATGCTTCAGATCCTCCACAGTTTCAGCAAGTAGGACTGTGTCATCTGCATAATGCAGGTTGTTGATGAGTCTTCCTCCTATACTGATGCCACATTCCTCCTCAAAGAGCCCAGCTTCCTGGATAATCTGTTCTGCAGATTATGTAGATTGGAAATATATGGCAATAGGACACATTGCTAATGTACAACCATCCCGATTTGGAATCATGTTGTGTTTCCTTGCTCTGTTCTGAGGACTGCATCCTGGTTCAAGTATAGGTTTCACATAAGCACAATCAAGAGATCTGTGATTCCCATTATTCTCAGAATTAGCCACAGTTTATTGTTATCCACACAGCC